CTATGAATTCACTAAAATCGGTTGTTTTTATTTCTTCTTTGTAAATAAATTTCAATTGATGAAAACTTCTCAGATGGTACTAAGTAGGGTTTCTATTCAAATTATAATTAACTAGAAATAGGATGGTAAATATTGGCATCTTCAATATTTACTAATGGGCTTTTAGACTATATGATAAAAATATTAAGAATATTATTAGATTCCATGCAATTTCTTTATTGTATATTTTAAATATAATTAATTATATGTCTTAAACATGAATCGGCTATTTAATCATTTCCTTGTATGTGAATGTCTCCATCCATCAAATATTCATGATGGTTATGTTTATTATGCAATACATTTGATATCATAATTGACATACACCTACACGAATAGTATGACCACTCATTGATCTAATATTTTGAGCACTCGAAATATCCCATATTTGAATATCACCATCATCAATCCCACAGCAAAATAATCACCATCTTCAGACCAGAAAAGACTACTAATACCACTTCTAGTAAAAGCAAGTGTCTTCACCTCCTCAGTTCTTGCATTCCACAAATGAACACTTTTTATCTAATCCAATTTCCACCATATTTTTATTACTCCAACCCAATAAATTTAAATAATAGTCATCAAACATTCCCGAGGAATCAAGTGTCAATTCAAGGCTTGTTGGTATTATATGTGATGATTTTGATTGACAATTGTAAATTTGATTTAATAGATCAATTTTTTGATAATGATCATTAGTTTGATGATTGATGTTGGTGTTGTTAAGGTTGTGGGCAAAACTCCTCCAGAAATCAATCAACAGAGTTTCAAAAGGTTACACATTAATTGTTAATTAGAGTTTCGGCAGAGTTTCACATTTGGAGGTTTGGTCAATCGTCAGAGTTTTGACAAGGTATATACTAATTGTTCATTAGAGTTTCGACAGAGTTTCAACAGTCACTAAGAGGTTTTGGCAAGCAACGTTAGGTGTTGTTCAACCTTAAACTCCAATATACACTTCTCAATTGCCAATCCACATGCACATGCCAATTCCTTTTGATATTTTTGTTCAGAACTATTCAAATAAATTAGATCCTTTCCAGTCTTGATATTTTTGTGCAGGAATTGTTGATCATTCATATTTTTTGAAATAAATCTAAATAAAATATTTCTCCATATCTAATTCAAATATCATCAAAAACAAATATAAATATATATATATACACCCCTGAGATTTAGCTTTCCTTTTTCTGGGAGACAAATCACCAAACCAATCTTTTGTTCTTTTGATGTTTTAAAATAATTATGTAAAATTTAATAATGTGTGTCATGATATTCTAAACGAGTGACGACGAATGGCAATAACCACCACCAATCTTATGATAAACACTACCCTTTGATAGCACCAAAGGTATCTTCTTTATTTCTTTTTCTTTTTTTATCATCTGAGATTGAAGACATTTTTATTTTTTTATTTTTTTAATTTAAAAATAATTATTATTGGCACTTGGTGTTGTACAACTTTTTTTTTTGACGCGAATTGATTTTTTTTTTTAAAAAAAAATGACTAACCAGAGGCACTTTTTTTTAAACTTGCATTGATATGACATCATTGAAATCAAAACGCGGAGAGATCTTGTTGGGTAATTATAAGATTCTCATCAAGATAATTGGTGTTTTGCTTTTCGTAATCAATAATAATATTAATATTAAATAATAATAAATAATTACAAGAAAATTCCAAGGCAGCATTGACTATTGAAAAATAAACATTCGAATATGCAATGTTTGATTATCAGAAATTAGCAGATGTTGAAGCACGCACACTACCTTGAACATTACAGTCATTCTCACATATTCCTCATGTACACAAGGCTGAATCTGACTCGTGCCTGACGATACAATGATGCAACTGAATTCCAGGGAGGAGGAAAGATGTCATGGAATGCATCAAGACTGCATCAATTGTCAATGACACTTTCACTAGTCTTTACAGCACCCATGCCAGAGAAGACTGCTGGCGTGTTAGCCGAAAAGTTGCCTGCAACGGGTCCTACCTCTAGGGTAAGGGTAGTTCTGTGACCAAGTCGCACCTCCGCAGATGAATTATAGCGCCATGTAAACATCCAGATCCGGCAAAGCAACGAGAATCTGCAACTCGTTTCAACAAGAGGTCCCAATTCAGAGTGGGGTTGGTGACCCTATAATTGCATTTGGGCTCTGATGTTAGGATTTGACCAATTGAATTTGATATTTTTTAAATGGGGGCTCTTGTCCATATAATCCACCCTAGGTATTTTACAAGTACAAGGTGGCAATTTGATTCTGCCCACTATTATTGTGATAGTCATCATGAACACTGACATCAAATGAAAGCTGTAAAATAAAATGGTTCAGATTTTGTTTGGTATGTTATGTATAAATTAATCATTTCATAAATTTTCTGTCTCTTCAATTTTTATTTGATCAATTGAATTCGTTTTTTAAATGGGGTAAGGTTATTGGCGAGACCAACAAGACAGCAACCCAGGACTCAAAACTCTGAATAAATAAATAATAAAATTGCATGACACGTTTCATTTATTATATTAATTGTTGTTTTTTAAATAATAATAACATAAGGTTAGGTAAGTTATCAAAAAGGACAAGATAAAGAATTCAAAG